TCCCGGATCCGACCGATTTTTACTCCTTTCTACTCGGCAAGGAGAGGCCCAGAAGACACCCGCTCATCAATCTGGATAATATTCAGAAGGATTTGGGGCCTGAGGAAGCTCCCACAGATCAGGAGAGGGAAGCCGAGAGGCTGCAACTAAACGGGGGGAAGCACATGAAAAGTTCAGCTCCAGAGGGAGGAAAACTAAAGGAGGGGAAGGGATCCAGACGGCTTCAGCCGCCTGGGAAAAGCTTCCTGTCTGCTGCACAGCAGATGCGGATCCCAGACTTCTTTAGAGTTATTCCTCCGGAAAACGGCGTCTGTCCCGAGGAGAGACGGGGAGAGAAGAGCTCCGCCCCCTCGCCGTCCCTCAATCAGTCGTACGACGTCGACACGCCGTCCGGCCTCTGGCTCCTGGACGGGCCGGGATCTGGACCAGGATCAGGATCTGGGCCGGGATCAGGACCGGGATCGGGATCTGGACCAGGATCTGGATCTGGGCTGGGATCGGGATCTGGACCGGGGTCTGGGCCGGGATCAGGATCTGGGCTGGGATCTGGGTCCGGGTCTGGGCCGGGATCTGGGCTGGGATCTGGGCTGGGATCTGGGCCTGGATCTGGGCTGGGATCTGGACCAGGATTTGGGCCGGGATCTGGGCCTGGATCGGGATCTGGACCAGGATCTGGGTCGGGATCTGGGCCTGGATCCGCGTCGGGATCTGGGCCGGGATCGGGATCAGGGTCTGGGTCTGGGTCGGGATCAGGATCTGGTCCTGGATCTGGGCCTGGATCTGGTCCTCTGACCCCGGAGAGCGATGGGGAGGATCCGGGGGGAAAACCGAAGGTGAAAAGGAGGCTGCTGATGCAGGCGGGCGAGAGCCCGGAGAGGAAACCGGATATGATCAGACCGAGCTCCAGCACGCCCAAAGGTAAGAGACACTACAAACATATTACAAACATATTACTTAGTAATATGTTTGTAGTGTTTTTACATTTTTAGTACTTGTAATATTAAATCAATTTTCCACTTTTTTAAAATAAATATTGTGTCTGACAATTCATATAGCTGAGAAATACTTTATAAAACGAACAACACATGACGTTCCACAGGTGAAATGGTCAATAAGTATAAATAATAATAAACCGGAAAACCACTGCCTGACCAAATAGTTCAGCAGTTTAGGAACGTTTCTCATTTCCAAATCAAAAGATTCAGGGACCAGGACATAAGAAGCCAGACACTAGCACAGAGTGCCGGTGACCTTTGACCCCTCAGTTAGGGATGTCCCGATCCTTTTTTTTAAAAGTTATTTTAAAAAGTTTAGTTATTTATCTACTTACTTACTTGTCAGACTCATGTTGAACAGGGATTTACTCTGATAACAACTTAATGGTTAGGACACAGACCTGTGGGTTAGCAGATGCTAATGCTAATGCTCGTGTGGGATCGGACTTTTAAAAAAATGGATCGATCCAAATATGGCATCGGGACAAGCCCAGCCGGCTGCTCCGGCTCCGCTGTTACCGGGCAGAACTCGTCTGGCAGCGATGAGCAA